AAATAGGGTTAAAAATTACATCAACGACTAACAGACGGACTTCATCCGTACTGACGGACAGACAAAAAAATTTAGTTATCATCTCCATTCATGATGAATGAATGTAGAACAGGTCCTACATCCGTGTGGATCTCTGATCTCTTTTTCTAATCTGTGACCACTACGGATAATCTTTGCAAACCGATATGATTAAACAAAATTATTTCAAATAGATTTAATATTTAATATTTCACGTACATTCCATATAATTAAAATTTTCAAAACTATTAAAATATTTCAAATATCTAATGTGCATTTAAAAATATCGATCGGACAAGTTATATTCTGATGTCTATCAATATCGATCGAAAATAAAAATAAAAACTGTACATAATTAAAAAATATATATTTTTACCTCTACAATTTCAATTCCATTATGAGATCTACTTTCTGCCCGATGATTATCCCCTGCTGTAGATTAAAAAAATTTGCTTGTACCATAAAAACTATCATTTGTCGAAACTATTACTTTTATTTTAGCACTCTAGTTAATTTACTAAATATATGCTGTAGTATGGAGTTAATCAAAAGGGGTAATTAAAATTTCTATTGTATGCAGTTATAAATTCTTCATGTGGGAATAAAATTAGATTACAAACAAAGTTATAAAGTGGAAAATACGAGTTGGTATGATATCATTAGATAGCGACGAGAAAGTCGTTAATAATATAGAATAAAAAAAAAAATAATTTTTAGTACTTTTATCTGGCTGGTTTTTGGCGACATTAAAATGTTACATCAAAAGTATTGATATTCATAAACTTGCGAGTTCTCGCCCGAGCCCAGATCTCGCGAGATTGCATTCCCTAGTTTCTAGTCTTTTTTCAATAATTTTCTTACCATCAAAATGAAGAGTCTAAGAACTTTAAAAATATTATCGAGTACAGAAATAAAAACTTAAAAAATTCAACCCACTACAAACTTTAAAAAGTTGTAAATAATACTTATCTCAAAGCGACTATTGAAGCCGGGGGAGGTCTTCTGTAGGTTTATTAGTTAATTTTAAGCGCCCGATTGCAATAGCATTTTCTTGAATAAGGCGCGTTAGAGATACATAAGTATTATTCATTTATTTTTTTAAGTTGTATTTTGTGTACGTGATGTGTGTTGTTAAAATAAATAAATTCTATTCTATTCAATTGACAACATTTTACAAGTTTGAAGTTGGTTCTGTTTTCTGTTTTTTTTTTTTTTAGTTTTTTTTTATGCTTTTTGTGATATTGATATTTTTATATAATAGGTAACATTAAAAATATTAAATTGCTGTATAAATAAAAATATTAAACATGATGTATTATGTGAATATTAAGTTTTAGAAAAAAAGATTTTGTTAATTTGCGCGACATATTTTTTTTCCAATAATTCTATACTCATATTATAAAGAGGAAATTTGATTGCTTGTTTGTTTGCATTGGATATGCTCCGAAACTATTGGTCGGATATAAAAAGTGTTTATATATAAATAATAATAATAATAATGTCTTTATTTGCAATAAATAGGGTTATATATACAGTTGTGATATTTCAGTTTAAGAGCTTTGACCTATTTAGCCATCTTGAACAGCATGCAAAAAATAATAACAATAATACCTAATAATAATAATAAAATTGATGAAACTTAAAATATTTCATAATTACATAAAATTGTGTCAAATTTAACAATAATAGTATTTAATCAAAATATTACAATTGTGTCAAAACGTTATTAATCATGTCAATTTTATGAAATTGTACAAAAAAAATAAAAAAAAAATATTAAAAAATGTATTATATAATAAAAAAGCTACATAATACGCGTTGAACATAGGCTATAACTTACAGGCGAAGTCGTAGTGAAACAGTTAGTTTGAAAGAAATAAGTTATGAACTTAATTCAATTCAAGAAGGAACCGATTGACATCAAAAAATATATATACTCCTTGAAGATAGAAGTTCCTCCTTTCAGATTATGAATGAATTAAAAATAGGCACTCTTTGGTTTCGTGGTTTTTGCTGAATAACATAAAACACAATACATATAATCTGAATATTTAGGTGATATATGGTGATAAGCGTGTTTTGTTTTGTTATAAAAGGAAAACTACAGATTCGATTTCGATAAAATTTAAATTTGACCACCCCGATACATTATGCTGTCGAAATTAAAAAGGAATTTTGAAAATCGGTCAACAATTTGCGGAATAATCGGTGAAAATACATAAAAATACATACATCGCCGTTGAACATATAACCTCCATGTTACGACACGAGTATTTGAATGTATTTTTTAAAAATAAACATAACATAGAGGATTGATCGAATGACGTCTCGGGTTTTTTCTTTTTAAGTTTGTCATGTTATATAGTCTTTTTTAAAAGTCATAAATTCCCTTCCTTTTGTTTATTGAAGTATAGGATTATTTTTTACTGCGAGCCCGCGTCGTCTACACTCCTTTTGGATTTTTAAGTCGATTAAAAGGAGCACGAAGTTATGGTTGTGGACATCAAGAACGTACAGCCAAACTAATTTGTCGCGTATTTTTATCGGCTTTGGTGAAATGGACGGAAAAAGCCCAAAATCGGAGAGGATGGCAAGAAATGAAGGAAGTCTACATCCATGTGCTAGAGATGGCTAAGAAGAAGAAGATTTGCTTTAGTATTCTGTTACAACTACAGCGTCGAACGCAGTAGAAAATTAGCTATTCTATATTATCTCGGGTCTTGGTGTTATGTTACCTACTTATATCAGATCTATAGCATGAAATGCTTTAATAATGTCGAATATGAGCAATGTTGTATGTAATGGCTGATTTTTCTTCGAACTTCATTTGGAAGTTATTGCTTAGTATAAAGCAAAGTTCATGCCAAGTCTTTTTAACCAACTAAAGACAGAAAAGGTTCTCTGGTTGACATGTATATTTTGTCTGTTATCAAGAATAAGTTTTTGTATTGCAGAGAAGTCAGAATTTAATACATTTTTTTTAAACTTTATCCGAAGTCGAAGTAAAGTTCATCTACAAATCTTTCACATCAAAAAATCAAATTCACGCATTACTTTTGATATTATAACATCAATTTTGTTTTTCTAAATTCTGAATGCAATTAACAGTATTCATGCGGGTTTACCGACAAATGGGGAATTCATGAGAAAGTTTTAAATATAGTATAATGTCAATGGTATGAAAAATGTGTCAAATTAATTCAACAATGTCTATTGCTGTTTATACCTACTATTGGTATTCAATAGTTTGTTTTATTAAAAAGGGAGAATATTTACGTATATTAACGACACTATTTAAAAAAAAAGACCTAAAAAATTTTGGAGATTATACATAGACAACACTAGACCGTCGATATAATTTACATAAAATTAGGTAACTATTAAGCGAAGCAACGGATAGATAGATGAATATTAAATAATACACAATTACACTGAAAAAGATACCAAATCTTTATTTTGAACTACGCAAGGACTAGGAACAAAACATTTTAAGTCTTAAGTATATAGCATACTCTCAACTAATAGGATTAAAACTTCCTTCTGTTTGTTTGTAACATTATTACTGAACTTGAATGGCTTCTTTAAGGACATCGTCAACTAAAATGGCTCCGGAAATGAATGGAGGGGGAACAATTTTCATTACTGAAAATCCAAACTTCTTCGACTTTCATTCATCCAGTGCCTGTTAGCTGTTTTCTTTAACTACTTTTATAGAGATGGGCATTCAAAACCATTTATATTATTTAAATGCGACAAGGTTGTAAAACACTTGTAAAACAACTGACGTCTGAACGTTTGTTTCACTCAGCTTGCAAGTGAATCACGTTTGAGGTTATATTAAATGGTGTTGCTGTGTTTTAGTGATTACCTTCCATTCAGAAGTGCGATCAACATGTGCAGCTAAATAATAATATAAAATATATACTTCTTAAATGTCCCACTTGCATAATTAGAGTAAACAATATTCATATTTGCATAATAATCACAAGAATAATATTGGCTAAAATGCCCGATACAATTTTTTATTTAATATATAATAATGAAGACTTTTATACTCATAGAAGAAATTACACCTACGTTCCATTATATTGAGGAACTTGTGCGTGACAAAATTATAGACATTCGTGAAAATATACTCATTTCACTTCTAGCGAAAATATCTAACAAGCTTTAGGGAAATTCACCAGCCAGCTTTTCCTTAAGGAACGCTAAAAATGTTAAATTTCTCAAAATATGGGTACTAGCTCATTGTATTGAGGATGACGTTATGAATCCAGTATCGGAAACGTTAATATAGGATGTTTTAAAAGTATTTTCTCTAAGATAAATTACACATTTAGAACAGGAATCCAGGCAACCCCGCATAGTTAATAATTAATATTTTATAGTTATTAATGTTAATATGAAACAAATCGCAAAGTGTTTTTTTTTTCTACAAAAGTTTTTCAAAATTTTGATTAGATATAGAAGATAGTAGCTAATCAGAAATTTATCTGTTAGAATCACGTAATACACCTTGTTAATGAGACATGCTTTAAAAATCCACTTTGTTCCTGGCACTCTGATATGGCATTCGAACCCATGTCCTAAATCTGCAGTCGCCTAGATTTTGAATGGTCTTGGGGAAAGCATTTTTCATTTACAATATTTTTCAGTATATCATTGTGAATACAAAAATTGATCAATAATAATAACATAAAATACCTATAAAATATATCGAGCCAAAAATAATATTTTAGATTTTATGTTGATCATTAACAAAAGAAGAATGATGTATTTAGTGTGTACGTCTTGTTGTATTGCATAAAGTGCCTAGTTTTACTATTTTTATCATTTGAAATTCGGTGAATGATTGTTCAACACCTGAGTATGAAAATATGGTAATCAAAATTCTCACGTATGGCAATACCAAATAAAACTCACGAGTGAGAGAGAGGGAAACTGGTTTGCTAGTTGCTGCGAGCCTCCATAGTTACTTGGCTGTGTTTTGAAGTCCGTCCGATAATATTTAACGATAACAATTACATGTTTCGTTCTAAGTATATGTTGTTTTAAGGAAGACATGTCATGTTAGTTTGTTCTCAGTGGACTTAGTGTTAGTGTTGTTTTGTATAGAAAGTGATTGGTCAGTTTTGTGATTCTTGATCGTTGTGCTGTGCTCCTTCTGGTTCTTAGAGGTGAGTGAACTTCACTCGCTGTGCCAAGGCTTTTGCCCTTTTCCACTACTGCAGTTCTCTGGGAGAGATAAAAATAAAAAAAACTTCCGGCCGGTATTGCGATGAGATGAAAAATACATAATGTACCGTGCTAGTTGAGTCCTTGGAGTATACATATGTATTTTCGCTAGTGCTAAATTGTAAGTTTACCTATATAAAATGTACAACACTAATGCAAGTAGATACAGAGCATTGAAAGGTGCATTATGTACTGATGCTACTGGAATAATAATATTCGTTTGAAAGTTAATAATGATCATAAGAAAAATTGCTGTCAGACGAAATCTAAAGTAGATTATTGAATACTGATTCATTCATCACGCAATGAGACCACGTATAAGACAGGTTTTGATCGGGTTTTACCACTTAATGGAATTTCATATAATATGACATAAAATTAACATAGTTCTATATAAAGTTATAAACAAGAGTTTCCCGGTTACTACGTTTATCAATGTAGGATATTCTAAGTTTTATTTGAGAGAAAATATAAAATCAATTCACTACTTTCTCTCTGCTTCTAGCGGCCACGTTTAAATGCGTGTGTAAAACATTTGCGTGCTTTTGAATAACCAGTAAGCTAAAATATAATGCATTTATATTTCAAACCAGTGGGTCTAGTCCAGTATAGCTTCCATTTAGGTGCTCAGGTTTTTTATCGCCTATAGGATTAGTAGCTATATTTCATACGTAAATTCAATTCTAAGCACACAATTTCATTATGTAATCTTATAATTTAATTAAAAGCATTATATTTGAATTCAAGGACAGCTTTATGAAGTTCAGATAGTTCGCAGTATTACTGGTCCTTCGAGCCGGATATTAACTAGTTATCTATGGATACGTATTATGTGGATATAATTTTGATTATTAGATTTTGTAAGCTGAAAAGGGCTGATATAATATGTTGTTGTAATAACTTCAAATTAAGGCAGTAGAAATCAATATGGAGCTTCATGGAGCAGTAGTAACCAAATTGGTCTAGTTTTTAGTGACGGAATGCTACCATTATGGACATTTTTTATAGGCTGCTTCAATTCCATTCCTAATGCTGACTAATGACTGGGCTATTAATGATAATTAGGAGAATTTTCTGTAATTATTTAAGTAACTATATAATTTAATGTAGTAGTTGCTTAAGAATGCACATAATTTATTTTTACTCATGAATGATTGTGACATTTTTTTGTAAGTATAAATAGTATATACACGTACAAGAGTCGATCTTGAAAAATAGCCAGCATGATTAAAGGTCACCGTCGAATTATAAAATGTGAATAAACAATTAAATAAACAAAAACTGAGTATTATAGCCCTAGGATTGAATTCATTAGTAATACAAATTTTGTGATTATTTTAAATATATATTTTAGTTCCGTTTTACTATCACTGAACGTTGTAATGTCTAAAATTTTAATAAACTTGAACAAGACGTATAGACGTTTGTAAAAGTTGAAAAGCTAGGCCACCAGTTCGCCGCGTATACCTAGAACTGACAAAAACTAGCAATACTTCTCTTTTCACCTTGTCAAATGAAGGTTAGTAAAAATGGCAGCTTAAACAGGTATATTTACTCTTTACTCTTACATTTGCATAAATATTTAAGCCATAATTTTTAGCTGTTTGGTAGATAAATGTTACTATGTATAGTATTGTAACGGTGCGCCGTACCACCTTTTATTGTTCCTAGATTTCAGTATGCAAACTTTTTGTCGTTGATATTTAACATCTTTGCTTTTTCTTATTCACCTTTCGTAATTTGAAACTTTGACAAATCAAATGTGCTCTTTATGAATGTAATTTCGTAAAAACATCTTCTGTTGTGAACATTTAAATCGTATAAATTTAAATATGAAATATTATAATGACGAAGTTATCATGATTAAACGAAATGAAAAATGAAACCAAAAAAGGGTTTTTTCTTTACCCTTTACTTATTTACCATAAAATAAATCAATTCCCAAGCTTAGTCAGCTTTTCATTAATTCGCCCAAGCATCGAATCCGTCACAGTATTTGTCCGTTAGCGCTATTAAAAGATTAAAAGGTCCCTTTTCTCCAAAAAAAAAAAAAAAACAATTTAGCATTCACAATGCTATACTGAAAAAATATTCTTAATGATAAACGATTAAAAATTCACTTTGTCCGTGGCGCTCTGAGATGGGACTTGACTAGAACCCATGCTGCATGACTGCTCCAAAAGTAGTAAGTTTTTTTTAAATGAAAACTGAACGGAGGTCATAGCTGCATTAAAATCTAAGCAAAAATAATCTTAATAATGTAGGTACGTACGAAATTATCCGAAACTTCGTTTTTCAGGGAAACGAGAGTCGAACTCTTCGTGTTATCTATGTTAAATCACATAATAATTCAAGTATTCGTTTATAAGATTGATAATAGCGTTTCTTTCGCAGAGATTTAGGATTCTATTGATCACCGATGTCTGATCGATCTACTCTTAGACTCTAGATCTGTAAAATTAAGCATCAGAGATTATAATTAGTCCATGTTTGCGACAGATTTAAGTTTGGATAAATTAACTTCTATCCTGCTAATACTCACTGAAAAGCAAAAACATTCTAAATCTTATTCTTATGAAAAAAAAATATTTTTATTGAAAAAACGCATACGTTTACCAAATCGCCAAAGAAGATTATATTTATTTTATTCTTTTAGTAAAAAAACTGCTAAAGGTAATTAAAACAGGATATCTATTAATAGATTAATGACTTAATTTTAAAATCGTCAACTTTACCCGACTATTGAAAACATTGGATAACATAGTCTAGTAGGGTAATTCTGCTAAAGTTGGCGTAAGTATGCAAACTCAATAGTGCTTTAACTACAACCCTTTATATACAGTTCTTGTTACTAGATCACAAAATATTTTTTTTTGCCCCAAAATATATTAGTATTCTTTTTTTATCATCAGTCCTTTTACGTCCCCACTGCAGGGGTTCAGGCCTTCCTTATGGATGGTTAAGGAGGATGGGCATTGACCCTCCACGCTGGCCCAATGCGGATTGGAGGGTATTAACGACTGCAAATGCAGCTGAGACCAACGGCTTAACGTGCCTTCCGAAGCATGAAGTGGCTCGAGATAATAATTTTTTGATCACGCATCCCGTGACTGACCCTTGCGAAAGTTGTTTAACAACAACGATCGCGGGCCGCGGCACTTATCTTACTTTTTTGTTACCATTCATTTGCTTTATGACACAGTTCTTGTTATTAGAAGAAAAATTAATAAATTTACCTGTCACCATTGATTTGTGAGGAAGACATTGCACCAATAATTTTGAACTTCAGGAAGATAGTAGCCGAGATTCTATTGAGATGCATTAATTAAGTAAACATAAGCAAAATTGAGGCTTAGGTCTCAATCCGTATGATTCAAAACGAGATTCAATGCTCTCTTGTATGTTTTGTAATAGGGACGGAATTATAGACGTCAATTAAATATTTGCATATGGAATGTATCCCATAACTTTATGTCAGGTTTGTTTAAAAGGTATAACCATAGGAATTCATCGAATTATTAAATGTTAGCATGCTTAGTTACATAAAACGGACTACTAAAAGAGCGCAAAACATCAAAATTTACCATCTTTCAATTGGTTTTATAAACCAAGCTTCCAAATAAGCAATGAATAAGCAAAACTGTCATCTTCCATGGGTTTTATAGTCAATCAAACCATAAATTTATAAATAAAAAATGGATAGACAAACACAAAGTTACCCCGAATATTCACATTTTTTCCTCATTTATAATATTAATAGGACAGTACTACTTGCTTAATCATAAGACATTACTTGTTTTCTTCGCTGACATATGGTGAAATCTTACGGACTAAGTAATTATTTTGCAGTGCAACGGTTTATTGAACGATATAACAAGCTGACTCACAGGAACAAGAATTGATGCTAGATTTTAATTTGATGCATGTCAAATATGCCGTTCAAATAATTTTATAACTGTTTCTTTTTCAAATAAAATTTAATGAACGGTTGTGATTGCTTCTCATAAATAATTGATCATCGTCTTAAGCTTGGATTGTTGAAGTGTATACCTACAGTAGCTCATTAGGCCCTGTCTTGACTTTATATATCGAAAACGGCTTCTTAGGGTTGATCTAACTTACGGATTTTTAATGTCATAGAGTAGGATAGAGCACGATTAAGTTGAAGATATGGCGAGATTTGAATTGAGTTACTACAAAATGCCAAAACTTTTTAGCAATAAAACTAAACTATTAATTCTATAAATTAATTTAAAACTAACAATTTAACAGCCAGTTGCACGAACGTCCAATAAAATTGCCATTAGTTTAATAGTGACATTACTGATACAAATTTTAAATTTAGAACATTCATTAGAGCTTGAAGTCGTTATTAAACCTTCATGGACGTTTGTGCAAATGACCGTAAGTCTTATAATCAATTGGAGGAAATTAACTTTTTGCAGTAACCAATTTTCAGGCGTCAATTACTTGCTATTTTACGAAATAAAATAATAATATATCCATAAATGTAAAGATATATGACATATTCATTATTTTATTTTAATTTGAAAGTTGATTGCTCTTTGAATTTGTGCTATATCCATCTAAATCTTAAAGGCATAACCCTTGAGCTAAAGCCTTGTCTGTAGGTATTTTACATGAATTATCAAGCAACTCTTTATTTGAATACAAATAATTGTTAATTCAAGACATATGGCAAAAAATCATTCAAAAATACAATCATATCATTATATCATCAACTTATACATTCTTATATTTGTGTATTCATTAATAAATTATATTGTTCCATCATTGAGATACACAGAGCGACTTCAGGGCATTTTTTTCACAAACACCGACCGTATCTTTGCCTCGTCTTGTTTGCAAAAAATAATAATCGACATTATAAAAAACCTGACAGCCTTGGAGAAGTAACCGCTTGTACTGAGTTATGACCGCG